TAAGGAATTCTGGGAGTTGAAGTCCACACATCTTCACGTTGCCAAGGTTGAGAAACACTGGCATAGAGAAAAGCACTCCTCAGGAGATAGCTATAAAGCAGAATTGATTTGCTCACATTTTAAAAAATAAAACGAATAAATTCAGTTTTGACATTAGGGCTGAATGGATCCTCTTTCCTAGTACTCCAAACAGACAAATCAGCGTAAGTTGCTAGAGATTACAAATTTTCTTTTAGATCCTTTTCAACCAAATCAATTTTTTTTATTTGTGTATTGCCCAAATGAAGCTCTCTGCAGAGAAATCAAGAACGGCCTTTTTAAAAAAGAATTTTCTTAAAAGTTTTAAAAGAAGATAAAAACCAAGACAAACTAATATAAAGTAAGAAAGAAAAAAGAAAAAGAAAGAAATCAAAGAGAAAGCTAAAAGTGCAAGAAAGGAAAAAAAGAAAAAGAGAAAGAGAAAAGAAAGAAAAGAAAAAAGAAAAAGAAAGAAATCAAAGAGAAAGCTAAAAGTGCAAGAAAGGAAAAAAAGAAAAAGAGAAAGAGAAAAGAAAGAAAAGAAAAAAGAAAAAGAAAGAAATCAAAGAGAAAGCTAAAAGTGCAAGAAAGGAAAAAAAGAAAAAGAGAAAGAGAAAAGAAAGAAAAGAAAAAAGAAAAAGATACAAAGAAGTGGCTTCTGATCTTCATTATAGCAGTTATAAGTACAATTATAAATTTACCTCTTTCTCTAAAGTTACAACATGACTCCCTTCTTTCTATAATCTATCCTGTCTAATCATCAAAACCATAAATCACAAGTTCATTTTTTTCTGTTTTACTCAAAAAGTCCATAAGGGGTTTCCAGTGAGCAATAAACGTAGATATTGTCTTTTCTCTCCTCAAAGAAGTCCATTTGGCCATCTCAGCGAGTTCCATCATCTTCACCAACCATTCTTCCATTGTACGTATTGCCAAATCTTTCCATCTTTGTACATACAATAATCTCGCTTATTTAAAGAGTCTCTTAAAAAATCTTTTTGATTTCATAGGAAGGACAAGACAGTGAGATAGCCATGTATGATTCGGTTGATATCTGATGAATGTACTTATATAAAAAGCCAAGGAAATTTAGGGAATAAAAGCACGTTGTCTTGTGTTACTTCATATCTAGACTTTGGATTTAACTGTTTACTAAATAGCAAACTGATCCTCAAGGGGGAGGAAAAACAAATTATATTTTGGCTCTGTTTGCTGTAGGATTGATATTTTAATATGTTTGAAGACATAATACTCTTGGCAGTTTAATATTTTTTGTTGATTCTTTAATTTCGAAAGAACAAATTAACATTCTATAAATGTTGTATTAATTTGCAACTGCCAGAGGTTCAGTATAATTTAAAAAAAAGACTCTGTGAGCAGCATGAAAATGTAATTTCATTAGGTTAGGTTGACGAGATGATTTTAGATAGTTACGAGTTCATTTATTTTGATTGTTGTATACATTTCTCTTAATAAAACCAAAGCAAATGAAACCTCCAGATCAAGATAAGGCTGTGACATTAAAAATTAAACCTTTGAATACAGCAATGCTAAAAGTATATTTAAACCATTTAGCAGAACGTTACCCTGGAGCTGAACTCTGTTTCTGGTAGCTTCCTGGTCATATTCATGTCGTTTTCTGGGCAACAGTATGGAAATGGTGTCATTGCCTTTTTCCAGGATTTTTCTTTGACTTCCTGTCTAGTCTATAGCGTTGTGTGGTTTCCTGGTGGTGTCGAATCCAGTACTAACCAGGTCTGACTCAGTTAGCCCTTTGAGATCAGCCAGAAGGTTGCCATTTACCCTCTCTTTAAAACGAATTAGTTTATAATTGGAAAGGATCATTAAGAAGGCACCCTGGTTGTTGCACTGTGTCTTGTCTGTACACTGACGTGTGACCTCTTCCCTATCCCTTTTCCCCCCTCCAGTATGGGCTATTGCATCCTCTTGGTCCACGGCTTAAACAAGCTTTACATGTGGCTAAATAAATGGGGAGTCACCGCAATGTCCTTCTCGGCTTTGCTGCTGCTTCTGTTCTCTTGGAAAACAGTGAAACAGAATGAAATCTGGTTGTCAAGAGAATCTCTTTTCAGGTAGGAGGGATTCAGAAGGGCTGGTGGGTGGGAAAGGCGTGTGGGCTTTGTATGAGTATTCCAACGCTTTTCTATTCTGTATCTTTTTGGAACTGAAAAAAAGATTGATTGTTTGGATTATGAACTGAACAACATATATTTTGGTTACCATATAAGCCAGTGTTTCTCAACCTTGGCAACTTGAAGAAGGGTAGACTTCAGGTCCCAGAATTCCCCAGCCAGCATTCTTGGAGTTGAAGCCCACCCCTCTTCAACTTGCCAAGGTTGAGAAACACTGGTATAAGCAATCATGATAGCCAGTTTGGTACAGTGGTTAAAGGCACCAGATAAGAAACTAGGAGACCATGAGCTCTAGTCCTGCCTTAGCCACAAAGCCAACTGGGTGATCCTTGGCCAGTCACTCTTTCTAGGCCCTAGGAACCAGGCAATGGCAAACCACTTCCAAAAATCTTGCCAAGAAAACTACAGAGACCAGTCCAGGCAGTGACTAGGAGTCAAGACGGACTTACACACACACACACACACATTGTAGCGGGGGGAATAGGAAGAAAATGAATGATGCACATCAGACATTTAAAATACTGCCTTTTAAGTCTATTGTAGCATCTCCTTTATCTCTCATGTTTTCCTTGAGCCAAATGACACGACTGGGAATGCAGTGACCAGTCTGTCCCCAAAAAGAGTGCATTTTTCTGTGGTTTTGTGCATAACATAGCAAACACATTTATTTAATAAGCTCCTCATACAAATGCTTGAAAGATCAATGGCAGGAAATTTAATCAGAAGTTGCACAGCAGACAGTTTGTTATGGTAGAACACTGTGTTACTGCTAATGAAGATTCTCAGGGCAAGAAAGAAAAAAAATAGATTTGCTTTCTGTATTATGGGGTTCTTACATGATAAACCAGGACCTTGGTTTGTTCCTCTCCTAGCAAACCAGAATAACCCAGCTCTGATTCTTGGTTTAATATTTGGGTTTGTTAAGAGAACAATAAGTCAGAGATCTGATGGAGAGGCTTCGTGGTTGCTTGCTCACTTTCAGGAGGGCATCATCTGAAGTCCCAGGAGTACATGTGGCTCCAAGAGTTTCTACCAAATTATTTTTTTAATGTGATAGAAGTGGGAAACAATGAAATATGTGTAGACTAATGATAATAAAAGTAATTGGTAACTTAAAGGCACGACTGTATTTTTCTTGGCAACCACATGGAAATGATTAACCTTTGCTTTCTTCAAGATGTTTTTTGACTTTCTAGTCTAGCCTACAATCTTGGAAGGTCTTGGTGTCCCCTTCTACCTACCAAACCGGTCCAACTATACTTACGTAATTTCGTTTCATGGCCCCAACTGCTTTTTCCTCCCCTCATCCTCCACTTTTTGCAGCATGCCTGTCAGCACACTACTCAAAAGCTAAGTGTGCCTCATGTACCTTCATCCCTAATTTAATTTTCCCCTAGACAGGAGAAGCAAAATCAGCCAATGTGCAGCATTACTGTTATTTGCTCATGATAACATAGAAGTTTTCAAGCTTATGACTGGAAAACTGGCCTGGTATTTCACCAGTGCCACCTGCTGGCTGAACCACCATGACTTCTCTTACTCCTGAAATGGGAGGTTTATTGGAAGCTGGAAATGTGTATTCAGAACCTGTATCCTAAAAGATAAAAAAATACTCTTGACCTGTGGCAGTTTCATCTCAAGTGGACTGGTTTATGCACAGCACTGCATTATAGGTTGGTCTGTGAGAAAGACCATAGCGATCCGTTAGGAAGGAAATCATATTGTTCTCACACATAGTATATCTGTGGGTTTTTTCCCCTTTATTTCCTACCCTCAGCTAGTTCAATTGTTATATATTTTCTGCAGGGAACAATATCAAAGTTTATTGGGCAAGTGTGTGTGGAAATTATGAGTTGGGCTATTGAATGAGAAATGGAAAAAAACGTTTTGTTATTGTTCTCCACCTTTCCCTACATGGCTATGTTACGGATACTTATTATTTCCTATTTTAATTCGAAAATAATTTCCCAGGTAAATCTGGCACCAGATTTCAGGCTTTCCAGTTCAATTTTTGCAGAATACTTAGGAGTTTCCTAAGTATCAATATGTCAGATTTTGCTTGTGTTAATTATCATGAAGAACTCACAGGGATAGCATCATCAACTTTAAGTTCTAAATGCATGCCTAGGATTTTGGAGAGTTATTACAGTCCTCCCTGATTGCAACTTTTGGACAAAAGCCTATTAAACTTTTATTTGGTCTTCACCTCCCTCTGTATGATGTTTGTAACAGCTTCCCTGTTCTTTTCAGTTCCACTTGTGCTCCTTGTTGTACATTCAGAGCTGACCCTGCTACTGGATTGAAGGGAGGAGTTTCTAAGTTTAAGAAAGCTGTGTGGGTACTCTTTGGAAAATGTTCTAAAGAGAATGAACAGATTTCTCCAAAGTAGAGACCCAAGCATTGATGAAAGTAGAAATCCTTCTAACTTGGGGATATTGTATATATTCAACCCTTTTTTGGAAAGGTTTATACCTACTTTTCTCTCTCGTTCTTCAGAAATCGGTATAGTTGGAGGTTCTGCAAAAGGAAATCTAAAGACAGCAGTGGAAGCACCCAGAGCTCCCTCTGCCCCTCCTACATCACCACCACCACCTCATTAATTGCATTTACATCCTGCTTTTTCTCACACAGCTCATAGCTGTTAACCTAAGGCAGCCCTTGGCTGTTCTCCATGAGTCTTGGGGACCATTGTCCACTGCCACACTGATCTAATAGCTGTTCTGAGGCTGCTCTCAGTGCAGAGAAACACTCTTCATTAAGATCACCTTATGTCATCTGCAGGACTACTGAATCAGCCAAGGTCACTATTACAATAATCTTTATCAGGATTATTGGGGGATGGTTGTGTGTGTGTGTGTGTGAGAGAGAGAGAGAGAGAGAGGATGGATGGATGGATGGATGGATGGATGGATGGATGGAAAAGAGCTGGAAAAAATAAGGAAGGAAAAAGGAAAAGGAAATATGTTTCCCTAGCCACTGAGAGCTGTGGCAGTGCCCCTACTAGGTATATGCCATCCTAGCACTTTCCCATATGGGAATATAGCTGTCTGTCCTGACAATGTTGTCCATTCCTACCTCTCTGCTTCAGTGGGTCTGTGTCAGAGCAGAGATTCCCTTTAGAGACAATGCTGCAAGCTTGGATTACTATACGGAGTGTCCCCTTCGCTTTATGGTGAAATAGATACTGTATACAGAACATCCTTCCTTCATTTATTATTCTCCACATGTGTTAGCACTACAAGTCCCAGAATTCTTAGCTAATATGGATCACCACTGTACAATTCTGCAGGATAGGATCCTTTCAAGTATTTATTTTCAATTTCAGGCTTCTTTCTTATTTGATGTTCCTGGGGTCAGAATAAAAAGGAAGTGAATACTCAATAATGTGTAAACCAAGCAGTTCACATTGCTGTTCCTATGTGGTTTGTCTTTCATAGATCAGGAGTCCAAACTCTACCCCATAATGCCAAGGTGCACTACAACTATGCCAATTTTCTGAAAGACCAAGGCCGTGATAGAGAAGCCATCTACCACTACAAAACAGCACTCCAGTAAGTTCTCAGAAATATCCATAACATTCATTCATCCTTCTTCCATCATAGAAAAAACAGCCTGATGGCTGGGAAGATGTTGTCATTTTTTTTCCTGTTAAATTCTTTGTGGCTCATTCTCAATTTACTATCCCCCCCCCCCAAAAAAAATCCACATGCTGTATATTTGGTAAAAAATACGTATTTACAAATTGGTGTGTGCTTTGTCAAACTGTTGATGAAGTATCTGCCAGTTAACAGCCTTCTGAAAACTTTTGAAGCTTGACAATCACACAGAACTGTTTCCTAGGTTCTCTGATTAGTAAGGACAAATTACAATATTTAGATGTAACTGTTTGTTTGTTTAACAAGATGTATAACCCATCTCCATCCTCATGGACTCTGGGTGGCAAACAACAACAAAATAAAAATTACAGACAAAATACACAAAATAATACAATCCTATAATCAGTTTCCGATAATCCTATAATCAGTTTCCTATAATCAGTTTCTTGCAACAGTGCTACAGTCAGCCTGGGCCAAAAGCATAATGACATAGGACTGATTTTTCTAGTGTGTGAAATGCAAGGAAGTTTGGGGCTGCATATATCTCAAGGGATATTCTCTTTATGGAGAGAAGTCCATGAAGTGGGGGCTACCACTGAGAATTCCTGTAACTTTGTCCACAGTCAGTGAACTTCATGAAGAAGGGGATTCTCAACAGACCCTCTCTTGATGACCAGGTTGGACAAGCAGATTCAATTCTGGCAAGGGGCCACCTGGATTATCCTGGTACTGAACCATGAAGATCTTTATCAAGTAGTACTTTGAATTGGCTCCAGAAACCTAATGGAAAGAGACATTAAGATTGGTGTTATGCTATACTGGCAGGATTGTCCCACCAGCAATCTCACCAGTGCATTTTGTACCAGCTAGAGTTTCTGGATCATCTCCAAAGGCAGCCCCACACAGAGTGTATTACAGTGGTGCGCTGAGTTGGGATCAAGCCACCAGAGTTGCCATTGCCAGGGTATCCTGGTCCTGATATAGTCATAATTGCCCACTAGCTAAAGCCCCTCCAACCATAACTTCTACCTGCCGCTTGAGGAGGCACTGAAAGTTCAGGAGGACATCCAAGTCTTGAACCACCTCCTTCAGGGGAAGTGAAACTCTGTTGAGAGTAACTGAATAGGTTATTATTGTCTTGAATTATTGTTATTGGATTGCTTGTTTGCTCTACCCAGAGCCTCTGAGCTTCCAGGCACCAGTTCAGAATAACCATAGCACTGAGAAGAAACAGCAAAAATGTACATAGATAAGTTGATACAGATGAATATTTCCTTTAAATTAGCCAGTTGATAAATTAATGCCCAGACACCTTTGCTTTCCGGCTTGGAGTTCATACATTCCTTTGGAGAGAGCTTATGATAAATGTGGTGCCTTGTCAAAACCTCCACACTTATTATCAAAGCATTTCAAGTTTACAACCACACCGGTAAGAGGATGTTTGTGTCTAAATGTAGCATTCTGGCAAGGCTTTGCAGTTCTGGTTTTATAAATACATAGATAATACTATCAGTATGCATAATCACTACCAGTAGGCATTTTTATGTTTCTTTACAGAATGCTTTGTAGGCAAACAAAATATGTGAACATTTTGTGTTGGAAATTGAAAATTAGCATCAGCGGAAAAGAGATCAAGAAAGAGAAGAGGGGGAGACTCTTTTCTTTAGCCCATTTGCCTATTCAAAATTGGCTGAGAATAATTTTCCAACCCTAAGAGTTGCAGATCTCTTTTACAGGGTGCAACGAGCTGTAATGTAATTTGATTTTGGTGGACTGGATTGTTTTAATACAGCTGTTGTGGATTTGTAAACCATAATTTATGGCTTAGTGTAGATGAACCCAGTTGTGATTCATATAGTAAACTCTGTGTAAGGAAATCAGTGATAAACAACGCAACATTGAAGCCCAACCACAGAATCTCTGCCTTTTCTTAGAGAAAGAAAAACGTCTTGAAAAGATTTGACCAACTTGCTCTCCGAGGTCTCTGACAGAGTTTATTGTGCACACAGCTTGAGCCATCCCTCACCTGCTCATTCGAGTTTCCCCAATACCTTGCTTTTCAGCTTCCCCAAATACCAAAGTTTTGAATGTAACAAAAAGGGAAATGTGGGAAGGACTCGCGTGGACTGAATTTGATTAATGCAAATTGAATTTAAGTAAAACTGCAGGAAGTTTAGTCTTGCCCTGCTTCACTGATTTTAGAGGGAAGTCCCTGGCATGGAATGGGTAATCGCTGCCTTCCCCCGGAGCATTTAGCAGAATGGAACCAATTTGGAAGACAGACTGCAACTGAGGGCGAGGCCTGTGTAAGTGGGTCTGCCACATGTTTTCCTTCTGACCAATTCTTTGTAGTTCTCCTTCCTTTTGCATTATAAGCTCCTGGGGGCACAACAGACTTGGAGCCAGCCCTACGTTATAATATCAGAGGGAGGTGGCCATTTCCGGCAGCTGTCTTCAGGTAGCTTGGTCCATTGTGGCATTTATTGTTGTATTTTTACTGACCAGGAGGGAGAGAGGAGCATATCAGGATGTTCTGCTTCCCCTTGCTTAATGACTGCCCTGTTTAGCAACTGTTCGAAGTTACAACAGTGCTGAAAAAGTAACTTTATGACCAATCCTTGTATTTATGACTGTTGCAGTGTCCCCACAGTCTCATGATCAACATTCGGGCACTTTGCCACCGGCGGGCATTAACAACCGTCACAGCGTCCCAGTCATGTGATTGCCATTTGTGCACTTCACAACTGCTTGTGACAAGCAGAGTCAATGGAGAAGCCAGCAGTAAAACTGCAAGTCACAGTCACGTGATGTCTCGCTTAATGACCGTGGGTGATTTGGTTAATGACCAAAGGGGAAGTGAGGTCATAAGCCCCTTGCGGTCATGTGATTTTCCACTTAGCAACCACAGTGCTTAGCAAGAGTTGCCGGTCCCAATTGTGGTTGCGAGGCGAGGACTACCTGTAATTTGATTAGTCTCTTGGGACTTTTGATAAGGAACCTTATAGATGTAGGGATGGCCCAGTACAATCGAAAATAATAACTGAGAGGCAGCTGGCATGTTTTCTTGATTGAACTCTTGCCGCTGCAGAATACAATCTCTCTATTATCTCATGACAGGAACAGGCAGCCCTCTTTCACTGGCACTTAAGTGCAGCCAATTTGTTTGGGAATTAGGCTAAGCACCCAGTAATTGCTGTCAGAGACTTTCTCCTCCATCTCCCCCACCCCCCTTGCCAAACTCAGTAAGCACCAAGTTGCTGGGAAGAACTTTAATTATAAAGGAGGTTGTTTTTAGGATTGATTTGCTAGGAGAGTTAATTAAGCCTCATTAGGTACATAGACTCCAGCAACCCTCTTCACAGAGCATTGCCAGCACCACTGCGCTTATGAAGGGGCAGCATTGAATGTTCCGAAGTTGCTGCTGGCTGCACTAAGAGATGTGCGGTTGCCTGGCAACTTGAAATTAAGTCGTGATCACCTGCTCTCATCTGTCACCTTTTCAACTCCAGCAACTAAGTTAGGTGGGTGAAAATAAACATGGTTTCATGTTAAGGCATTGTTCTTCTTGCTGCTAAAATATATTTGGAGCTAGCAGGGAGATGGGTGGCTCTTGCCTGTTTGGTAATAAGCAACTAAGTGCCATAAGGTTTCTTAGAAAATGGAGGAGAGTTAGAGTCAGCCCTTTGCTTGGAAATGAGCATGCTGTCATGCCCAGAAAAAAGATAAGGGTGGTAGGTGGTGTCTTGCAGGACAGGAGGCTAGAGAAAGTGGCAAACAACTTTCTGGGACTTTGCAAATGGCGACATTCCTCACAGCAGCCGTTTTGTGAGTTGAGAAGCCCTCCTTCCAGCTATTGTACTGGAACACTGTGACGTGTCATTCAAATTCCAAAATTGAGGATCTCTGGCTGCATATCTTCCAAGGTGACCAGCACAGAAATCAATTCAGGGGGAAAAATGGCGGGTTGAGACAAACATGAAAATGGAACGTTCTGGTAAATCTGTGGTTTGTGACTGGTTATGTCCCCCGCCCCGGCCGGAGAATTTTTGTGAATGGTGAACCCCATCCCTACTAGATATTTTCCATGCATATTCCTGACCTGCTTTTAAAACTTCATCTCTGCTCAGCAGCACAGAAAAATTAGTAACACCTAATTATGCTATAGGACAGTTTTTGAAAACTTGGCAATTTTAAGATGCGAGAACTTCAACTGGCTGAGGAATTGAAGTCCACACATCTTGAAGTTGCCAAGTTTTTAAAAACGCTGCTATAGGTCAACTCTGTGTGGAAGGAGTAGCAGGGAGGTAGGTGATCTAAGGCATGAAATAACATAGAAAAAGTGAGTACACTTGATGTCCAGAGTGTAACGCTCTGTGAACACTAGAGAAGAAGCTGAGATTGACCTAGAGATTACTAACATGCATTTTTCTGACCCACCACTTGCCTTTTTCTGGGTTTGAATGAACAAAAATTCACATGACAAATAGGAAAAGGTGCAGTTCTTTTATAAAAACCAAGGCATGTCATTGGTTTAAAATTCTAGTTTTACCAAATCCAGAATGGTGGCTACTATGGATTCAGACAGCTGTTTGGGAAGGTTTAGGTAAATTTTCAGCTACGAGTGAATGAGTAGCCCAGGGCTGGCCAAGAGGCAATGCCATCACATAGACCTCATTATCTCTTTCCTGTAGCCTAGCATATTGTGCCAACACAGTCAATGTGCTTTGGCTCCTGTGTGCATAGTTTCAGTTTTGGCAGGAGGTTGATGCAACTTAAGAGAGATAGAAGGAAAGATGTCAATAAAAGATTAACATACATTTTTAAAAGTAAAGTCTCCCTTGATTTGAGCATGACTCTTGGTCCCTCCATGTTCGTATCCATGTCGTTTATTTGAAAGCAATATCAAAATGGTTTGTGGTAGCCTTTTTCCAAGACTCTTTGTTTCTCAGTCTAAT